TTAAATGTTAACGATCCTACGATCATAACTTTCTTCCTTTTTGTACAATTACTAAATAGATGCAGAAACCTTAAAGAAAAATGATATTGACTTTAATAGAGGTGGAAATTTATTATTTTTTATTTATTATTATTTATGATCTATCTATTTCCCTCGTTGTTTATTGTCTATTATCTATTATTATACGTTTATTTCCATTATGACACTTTAACATTTAAGTATACCTCAAAGATCCGTAATTCCAGTGTTAACTTCATCATGGAACACAGTACCGGTTCTCCACACAACAGAACAAGACTCCACTGCCATGCGAAAGTATCAAACTCAAGCGAAGCGAGCACGTGGGGCGAGATGCTGGTTTTGGCGAGTTGCGCAACCAATGAACTCGCATCGACCAGGTTCGGCATACGGCCAAAGCGAGAGTAACGTGAAACGAACAGAAACTACACCGATGAAGAAAAGAAGTGGGGAGAAAAAAGAACGAAGAAGACGAAGAAGAAAAGAGGCGACGAGGCTGTAGGCCCGGGTCCGGGCCCGGAAACGATTTGGCTGCCGCAGGCGGGGAAAGCGGCGACTAACTTGACAGATGGTTTTCTCCCTTCGCATTCTCGCGCCTTCTCCGTTCTCCACCGTTGCGTCGCGTCGTTACAACCGCCGCCATGACCGCCATCGGCGAACCCGCGAGTGAGTATCCTCTGCGAATCGATTACTCCATTCTTATTCGGTGCGTTGTAATTTATTCGACGGCTAATACTTGTACACACGAGATAGATTGTACACAATAGCCAGTTTTGAAATGGGTTTTCGGCTATTTTGAAATTCGGTTGATTTGACCTACGACTTTCTATTTCAAGTTTTTATGCTTGTAAGATGCTTCATGGTTAACATAATGTTAATGCGTGTAGCTATTATGATAGATGTTTTTAGATTCGTACGTCGCATATTCATGATATGTAAGATAAAAATAATCGAAAAGAGTTAAAAGGCGCACGATACAAGTGATAAGATATTTAGTCTGACAACCGTATGACCAACGTTGAATTTTAATAGGAAAATATTCGTGCTTTCAAATATTAAGATATCTACGATGTAGTTTATATTCATAAATGCTTATAAATTCATAACATAACATAAATCTTTCAGATTATAGAGAATTTACCTATAATATGAGATAAACCTGATTTTCTTGTAGTACTTTTCATTAAATATTTTTATTTTGAATATTATCTCTGTCTTTCCAACGGGATGATGTAATATATTAATAAATCTTATCTTCTAAGGTTCTAAATGTTCTTAAATTGACACCAACAAAATTATTAGAGATCTTCAGAATGCAATTGACATCATTTACTTCAGATCTTCGAGATATAATTTGATCTTGGACATTCAGTAATTTCGATACATTAAACGGGACATATTTGCCAGATTGTAACAACGATAAAAATAAGTTGCGATGTATTCTTATAACTACATATATCGTTGAATCTCACAATGATCAAGATTATGATGGAGATTATTAGGAAGCCATTAACATGTATTACTTATTATTCAAAAAGACACTTTTGAAACTTTTAACCAGGAAATACCGACTACTAAAGGACAGGCTGTGAACATAAGTGTATGTTGCAGGCGTGAAAGTCAATGTCGAAGATTAACACTAGAGTTAACAATTCGTACACATTATTCGCCTGTATTTGTAAAAGTATCTATGTGTATATAATAGAAATATTCGAAATAAACGCAATCACGTATTTTAAATCTTCGAGTCTTTTGAAAATTACCTGAAAAATATAGTTTAATCGGAATCGCGCGAATCGAACAAACGGGTTGTCTCGTCTGTTCCTCGATTCGACCTTATCGATTTTTTTTCATGCCGAGCTTTAAGTGCATCAGTCTCGCTCTTTAGCGAATTTGTTTGCCTTCGAATTTGAATGAATCGATTCTGCTCGATATCGAATTCAAACATACCGGGGTTTGTTACCGAATTCGAGTGCGTCGGTTCCGCCGGCCGACATCAGGCTTGGAACTCTCCTGCATTCCTTGATACACCAAATACGAGCATTAGAACTCTGTTTACCGTTAAACTCGAACGAATCGATATTCCTTTGACAACCAAGTCCATCTGCGCTTGATGGTAGGGAACTGCGAATGGAATATACGCGAACATCGTTTTCTTTCTTTCCTCTTCTGTTTACTGAAGAGGTCCTGATACTATTCTATTTTTACATCGTCTAACGACTCGGTGAACTTGCCCCTTCCGTGCTTGTTTCGCAACCTAACGTATGATATGATAACATTATGATAATGTTCCCTTTCTCGGATTGACTTTTTACAAGCATGCAACGAGGCAACGCGCCGCGTAGCCAACGCAACCCGTGAAACTAATTATGCTGATCACAGTTATCCGTGCCCTCGTTGCGTAAAATATTTAGCTCGCCACACGGTGCGATTGCACCTTATTTTTTCCAGGAATTTTTTGCCCCGCGAAAGACCCGTTGCAGACCTCGGGCTACGCCTCGAGTTCACGTACACTGTGTATAACGTTCACGGTGCGTACGCGATTCCTCTACTACGCCCGGCTGTACAATGTAGAACGATCTAATTGAGCTATTCGTAACTGCACGCGTCTACGCGTTAGTCATTATAGTGTACATGTTCCATAAATAGACACGAAATTCTGCGAACTTCGCTTTTCGCTTCTCTTTTCGCTTCTATTCAACAACATTATTCGATGTTTTACGATCGGAAATACTATAGGGATGAGAGTTGAGTCTGTCTGTTTATTACGAATGACTAATTAAGAGTTTTGAATGTCAGAAATGCGTAAAAATATTGAGTGATTATGAAATTAGAATGTGAATGTATTTTGGTTGGGTATTGTGCAAAAATTTTAGATATTCTACGATAGTGATGTCATCATGGCAATGAATCATATTTTCAGGGAATATTTCCATGTAGCGTTACGTAGGATCGAAACTTTATATGTACTTTTTATTGTATTTGTTTGTCACTTCTTCTAATTCGTAAATGTTTTAAAAGTACTTTAGTAAGTAGTAGTCCGCGATAAAATGTTATGAAATACATGTATGCAGAGTGTAGAACGAATTTTGTTTAAGAATTAACTTCCATATGTTTCTTATTAATTAGGTATTAATTATTAATTAGGTATATTTCTATAATAAATGATATAGCATTCATAAAATGATTCGTTATATAATTATGGTTTCATTCAGCTTATAGCTCCTGCTTTTCTCTTTTCGGACGGAGTACAATAAAAATTCTCACGATATAAAAGAAAAGTAATAAACAAACAAACGGTACGTTTAACGTTACACGTTGTAAATTTCGTTCTTTTACGATCTAACACACAGTCTCGAGATTTTTTGCCGACCTTATATGGCACGATCAGCGATCGTTGCGCAAATCTTTAATACAGCGTACTTGCATTTTATCGTTCCTTGATCTTTCTCCGCGTGTTGCCTTTACGCCCGCAGGCAAAGCCTCCAGTGCGTGTAAACCGTCGTTGTGCGATGCTTATAATTTAACATAAGTTACAATTGACAACGTAATGTCTTTTGATTTGCGCGCGCAGCCTCCAGTCGTCGTAATGCGGCGACGCGAAACGGCCCGCCGTAAAATACGAAATTACGATGATTTATCGCGCACGAATACAGGGGGGATTTTCGCAAGACGTTCAATGATACCAAGTGCCGTGCTAACGGGATTAATTTCGTTCCGATATCACGATATTTTACACTTCGTTAAATTCGATTACATCTATTAATCATTCGACGTTCATCCGAATCCTTCTGTTTATCGTCCTCCCAGTTGTATAGAAAGTGCCCATGAATTGTGCACTTATATAGAGGAAGGCTGAACTTTGCAATAGGTAATATAAATTTTGTAGAAAGAATGACGAATCGCGCAGTGTCGTATTTCGCATAAAAATGCGTTGGTATTAATCGGTAATGGAATGAAGTCTTAGCAAACGCGTATAAAAAATGTATCTTAATGATAACTCACTTGAACAATATTATAGAGTTTTTGTAATTTTGATAGCGGAACACGATGTGAAGACTTATTTCATTGTAACAAATTTATATCGTATTGAAAGGAGGCTTAGACGTTTCATAAATGCATGGATATTAACTAAGAGTGTTTAAAACTAATGGAACAATTAAACGATTTAATCAATTTCTTCGTCAAACAATTTTTTCTATTGTGGTTCGTGTGTAGTTTAGAAGATTTTTCTTGAATCTTTAGAGAAATAGAGGAAATTTCTATTAATATCTCTGTTAAGGAAAAGATGAACATTTACATTGTTATGCATTCTGTAATATTACTTATTATTTCAGAAAATACGAAACAAAAATTGAAAAGCTCCATTAAATAAACAAATAAGTAATCGAAACAGAAAAACCTTTTTCATTCGTCAGTTTCAATTTCCGAATACAAACAACCGTTCAGCGTGAGAACCAAGAGAGAATTATTCGCAGAACGCGCGAACACGATACACGCGACATTTCAACGGCCGTAAAAAGAATTAAGTTGAACGAATTCGAATGAATATTCGCTACTGATCGGTCAAACTGCCTCGTCCACGCTTAATACGTGATATAATAACAAGCGTGACAACGCGTAACAATTAATTTTATTATATTAAAAGACCGTTTCTTTTTCGACGATATGAGTTTTATAACTATTATTAAGTACATAAATTTATCTAATAAAGTGTCGTTATCACATCGTCTATCTGATAAAGTACCTAATTTACTTGATAATCGATATTGACACTAATTAAGAAGTTTATCGAGAAACAAATTCTTCTTTATAATACTTGAATTAAAATAAGAAAAAGAACTGCGGAATAAAACAGAGTATTTCAGAAAAGAATTATAAACAAAGATATCATAAAAAAGAAAGTACATGTTATAATAAATGTTATTAATTTTGGTCAAAGTTATCCAAGTAACTAATCAAAAACAAAAATGATTCTATTACTGTTAGGATTAGGGTTAGGATTAGGCCTGTTACCCTAGAACTGCCATAGAAAAGTCCATTGTATGCCAAAAAAAAAAAAATGAGATTAATATCTCCAGCTTCTAACATTTTACTCAACCCACGCCCTATATTCATAATCATTTACTAAAATTCTAAAAAGATTTAGAAATACGTGTTACGTTCTTACTACAAAAAGAATTAGAAAAAAATCAGTAAACACTTTTTTTAACAAAAAAATTTCCACACCTAAATCGTCCTCAATGTGGCGGCGCGGCGGCTCAAACGCTACTTGCAGAAAATACGCAGCGTTCCAGTGAACAATTTGAGAGAGCATTATATAATAGTTTAACGATTCGCGAACACGAACCTGCAACGCTCGCGAACGCAAAGACCGCCGCTTCTTGCTGGTCGCTCGTTGCACCGCGAAGAGGGGAAATCATTGATATCGGCGCAAAGAGGAAAATTTATCCTCGTCCTCGAGCAACGTCCCCGAGGACAGTGAGAGTATACCGCGCGGCGCATTGGTTGCACGTGTGCGTGCGCTCTCATGCAATACGCGTCGTCGAACGCGACTTCATGCAAAATTTCAAATTTTCCTCTTCGCAGCTATTAAACATCGCGAAACCATTCTGTTTCTAACTCTTTCACCTTCTAGCTTCTTCTTTTTTGCTCTATAGTTTTTAGTCACGTAGTAAGTCGTTGTATTGTGTTTTCTTGTTGGCGAGATCTATGTTCTTTTCGTCTTTCTTTCTTGGCTCGCGTAGCAGTACCGTGGACTTTGTACTTGGATTTCGTAACTTGCAAGATACGTTTACATCACGTACCTTCTTGCTTTTTATTGAAGCTGATACTGAAGGTAGCTGGGCGGTATTTTTTTCAGTTTTTTTTTTACGGCTAATATATCCTCTGATATCGGTGTTAAGTTTTATAGCATATTGTGTATGGTTATTAATTTTCATTTCATAAGGGTCAAAGGTCGAAATTATTTATATCGACTATATAGAGTATTTCGTAAAGAGGTAAAAAAGGTGATTCTACGTATATAAATCAAAAACATAAAAGAGTTTTATACGAAGTTCTTTTTTACGAAGAACTGACTTTAAATATTAAGTACAATTAACCGTGTTAATTATGTTCATATATATGTATTGGGTAATGATAAACATTCTCAACAATTTCAAAAATAATAAAATTGATGATACATCGGTAGCCAGCTTTACTACAAGTTCCCCATTGTCCAATACTATAAGCACAAACGTAGGTACAAATATTAGCATACAAGAAGAGAAACTTTCAACTTATTTTTTCACGTAGAATCTGGGTTATAATGTCAGCAATAGGGCACACTGGTAATTCACGTGGATTCATTGTCACGAATAGAACGAGATTTTCACAACGAGAAAAATGTATTACTTCGTTTTGTTGAACGTTAACGAAGCAACCGCTATTATATGCATGTTTGGACTCCAAACAAATCCCGAGATCGCAATCCTCGTTTTGCTACTCTGTTCCAAACGTTAGGAAAGTTATGTAGTTGTGAAATAAATTCGTGACCGGACTGCCAGGTGACTTCGATCACTGGTAACACTGTGTTTATCCGCTCCGCTGAATTATACATTTTTCTCTGTGTGGGCTACAACGCAAAGCATCGATGACACCACGCGGCCTTACGGGAAACTTTAACGAGATGTATCGGTGCTATTTCGTTAATTCCGTGAAGGTACTCACCAAACGGTTCTCGAAAACTCTCATGTAAGCACGTGAAACAGGGACAAGGAACTTACCTGAAAAGTAAAAAATGATAACGATTAGTATTACGACGTTTTTTTTTTAATCGAATCGCTGCTACAATTATGGGTAATGACACAGTGAAATTTAGATTAGTTAGTTGCGATTCGAATTTGATACATGTACATCATAGTGAATAGGCGTGTATATCTTTTAGCTGCTGCGGTATTATCGTAGAGTACTCTAAATGATATTAAATGATATCTATGTAAGTATTGTTACAATGTTCGTTCGCGAATAACACGCGATACTAATCTTCAATTGGGTGCGGCCTTCTCATTTTCTAATTACATACATAATGCTAAAGATAGTCTTGGTTTAGGAATGGGTTTACAAATCAAATGTAGTTTGAGAATATAATAGAATCTTGTCAACGTTTTTAAATTTTTACATATTGAAACATAAGATAATAACGGTAATAAGAATCATATACAAATTTGAGGCTAAGTGCAATTTTTTAGAATAACATAATTAACCGATTTAATTTTTATATTAATCCAACGAGGGAAACATTTTTTGTGCAATTATTACGTGCAATTCCTAAATATGTATATTGATTTCGATATGTCTAATTTGAAATAAAAATTCTTGTATTTATTTTATGATGACTTTTATTTCTAATTTCTTTATTGGAATGCAGCAAAACTTATATTTTATCGTAGCAATTAAGGGATATTAATTTCGTAAATATATAGTCAATTACTTACTAGTTAATGTATGCACATACCAATTTCATTGTCTACTAAATGAATACATTTACTAAAAATAGTAGACACTTATATTCTTCTCGACACTTTCGCTAAACTGTCACGTAAATGCATACATTGAAACGTCAGCATATACCTTTACTAAATTTTACGCTTTCACTGTGATATATGCAAGGAAAGGGTGGTTCGAGAGTTCGTAGCTTACAAGTGAACGAGCCAGCGAGCCTTAAATGAAGAAAATTTATCTATTTTTCAAGGTAAACGGCAATTTTTTACTTCAACAATGCTAATTACTTCTCTTAGTCATTTATTAAAATTATCAGTTGCTTATTATAATTCAACGATAAGAAGTTTTCAACTTTTTGTATTTAAATAGAGAGATATATGGACAAATTTTGAACAAATGTAACGAAAATTGTTTCAAGTTCTATTTCGGAACTTTACATCTCGAATGTTGTAATTTAAACTCATATAATACCATAACAACCTCTGATAATATGATATCATAATTCCATAATGATATGATAACTATAATATTTATCAATGACGTAATATCATAAACAAACTCTACTCCGTGTTACATTGAATGTAATATGTCCACATTGTCCACCAGTTACCCGGACAGTATATTCATCACATTTGTTAAATAAATTATGTTCCATAATGGTTACAAAATTACAAAAATTATTATTATAAAGAAAAATTCGTAACATAAAAGAATATTGCGAAATATATCATAATCATGTACCAACAAATGTCAACAATTTTTCATAATTTTTTATTCCTTTTTGTACTCAAAATATCGAACGACTCCAACGAAAAATCCATCCTAGATCACAGCAACCCACGCAACATAAAATATAGTAGACATTCAATCCAGTAGATTTCAATCTCGATCAAACGAGCTCGTCAACGTGAGTTCACGCGCATCCTTCGCCCACCCTTCGAGTGAAAAATCGAAGCTCGGTAGGCGCGCGTATTCGCGGACCGATCGTTCCCATCGAACATCGTTTTCCCGTCGAAACGTTCCTTTCATTGCCGTTCCCGTTCGTGCGAAGAAAAGACTTGGTCGCACGTCGCAAATACAGCTTCGAGCTATTATTACGCGCTCATTTACAACCCCCTTAGCCCCGTACCTTGAGCAAAGAACAAAACGGAAGCTCGGTCTTTTACAAGAAAAAGGCAGCGCACCGTCGTGAGCCGAGAGCCGCGGTGCCGTGAGCCGTTCCCGTCTCGGTTGATGTGAAACGAAGTTTTTTAAAAGGCACCGTCATGCAACTATCAACGTGCATCGCGAGGCCTTCTCGTTTCTTTGCGTTTGTTCGGCTGGCCGAGAGACCGTGCACGCTCCTAACGTAAGGAGCGATTGTTGTCGGCAATAGGCCTGTCGCAATCGGAAGTTTCGTCTTGCAACCGTCGCTCGGCCGTTTCGCTTCGGTACGCCGGCGAGAGCCAACAATCCCGCTCCAACGATTCACCGGAATCGGAGAGAGACCATTTCGATGAACATCTCTCCAGGTTCGTCCCGAAGATTTCTTTCTTTTTATTTTTTTCTTTTTAGGGGGGGGGGCGTAGAAGGTTGATTGCTTGGCTGAGATTCGAAGACGAGTGATTTGGTGGATGATTACTCCGATAACTGGACCATTCGGATATTTTAGCACTCTTTGTTAATATAATTGCATGTAAAAGTGTGTGTATGTATAATCGTACGGAAACAAATAAACGTTAAAAATGTTTGTCTATGCTTCCTTTTGTCAGCGATTTTAGAATATTTCAGTTTAATTTTCATTTCATATTTTTAGCGGAAAAAACCACCGATATAAGTGACAAGAAAGATACAAGCGAAAACATGGAGATAGATTGCATATACTCGATAATGTCGAGTGAATGAATTTTTAATTCGTAGTTGCATAGGATCTTTGATTTATTGAATAATCATTGGATCGATTGAATGTTCTGTGCAGTCACGGCAACTCGCATCAGCGTTGAGCCCAAGGAAATTTATCATTCAGGAAAATGGAATTGAAAAGGAGCTAAATGCGGACAGTCCGTTACGCTTCTAATAAAAATCGTTAAACTCAAAATAGGCGTGCTCGATACGAGTTTAATCGGACTTTGCCCTGATTTATAAGCCAATGGAAAATAGGTCTCGGATCGTTAACCACTCGGGAGTCCTTGAGCGTATAAGGCGTTTTATACTCCGAGTAAACGATCGAGGGAAAGTCACAATACTTAGTTTACGATACACCAAAGGCGTAACTGTCTTCCAACCATAGGAGTTCAACCTGTTCCAACGAACCATTAACCATTCCTCCCGGAATCTCTTCAATTTGCATATCTTTCAATTAACGAATATCTCTCTTTATTGAAATGCAAACATAAAACACTGGAAAGAAAATATGAAATACATTTCTACAGAAACGAACTTAACACCTGCAAATTCACACAATTCCATAATACAAACTTAACTTGAAATTCCTTATTCGATCACAAGTATATTTCGAATCCGTAAAAATCTCAAAAATGAAAGAAATTAAACGAAAATCGCCAAGTACATTCTTATTATGGAAAAAGCGCGAATTTGAAACATGGTATCCGAATCGGTGATTCCCATATCCACCAATAAAATATTCGAACAAGGTGGCTGACTATAGCGCCGCACTTGGAGCCGCTTTAGTCGGTAAAGTTGAACATCGACGATAACTCCCTCACAGTTATCAACGGTCCCGGTCGATACAACAACCGTTCTCTAAGCGCCAGTCGGCTTCGTAAGATTGGTCCACGATGATCGTGGCGTCAGCAGCGTCATCTGACGTGGTATTCAGTACCATTGCGGCGACCGGCCTTGCAAGGCTGCAGGCCATCGAACTCTTGGCCTACTGCCGCGCTACGTAATACGTGTACATGATGCGCGAGAACGAGGATAACCGGCATGCAAGAGGGAAAAAGGACGAGCGATTCTCGGTGGGAGCGGTCTCTAACTCTGAAAATCTGAAAGAGTGGTGGGCGAGGCCAGTGCTGTACGATCAAGGTGTGCGACCACTTCAGACACGCTGTCCAGTATAAGTTTCCGAAATTTCATTTCACGGGATAGGGTCAGAGATGCAATTAAATGATGCTTCAAACGAAATCGAAAAATTGCAAATTGCTAGAATAATTTGGAAAGTTTCCAATATTGTGGCTAAGTTGAAGGTAAAGCATCGCCTTGAACAAAACTGTGCAGTAATAAACGGTAATTAAAACGGCAGTTGGTATTAGAAAAGTATTTGAATGTAAATATACAGAAGACTTCAAATAAATGTTTGTTATACTAAGGAAGGTTTCTTTGAAACGAAGTTTGTTTCAATATCTGTTGATTATTGACAATTTATTACACCTGGCTTAGCTTGATCCTCTATCTAAAAGAATTTTCCTTCTACTCCCTTTTCTTTTTCATTAGTGATGATAATTTACCTACTTTTTACCTATGCCATGTTTTATACAAATGCTATAAAGTACTACTGCAACAAGTATAGCAAAATGAAGAAATTATAATACATTTAATAAATACATTATTATTTATGTATTATGTATAAACGAATACATAAGCAGAGTTTGTATTTGTAACCATCAACCAAACCTTCAAGAGCGACGATGCCAAGTTACAGTTTCATTACCATTACTACCTAAAATCTAGCACCCTATCTAACCAACCCTCTAACCAAACCTAACCCAAATCCGTATTATGCAAACACCAGTCTCCAAATTACGATGGCCGGGAAACAAATAAAACGGTTCCGGCGATAATCGACAACGAGCAAGAGCCCAGCAGCAAGGTAGCAGAGAATTGCACCGGTACCATAATGGCGAAGCCCGAATGCACGAAACGCAAAGTGCCCTTTGCCGCGGTTATTCGTCGTTCGCAATATTCCTGAGCCATTCAACGTCCCGGCATTCCTGCGACGCGCGTATAAAAAAGCTTTCAGTCGGTGAGAGGCGGTTCGTTTTATAAATGGGGAAGCAGCACGGTATGCTCGGGAAAAAGGGGAGGAAGTGGTGACGTCGGCACAAGGAATTTCATCATATAACTAGAATGCAAGGTATCAGTCGGTTTTAAGCGCGCCACAGGAGGCCAAACCGTGCCACGGTCGCGTTTCGAAGCGGGGCTTCACTGTCGGACGCACTTTTACCCTACATCGTTCTGTAAGCTCGTTAACGAGACGAGTCTCGTGCGCAAACCTGACGGCCGTAAGAAGGGAATTAGATTGTTAAGGGTGTGAATTACTCCCTCGTCTCTCCTTCAACAGAAATCTTTATCCTTTCGCTTTTTTTTAAATGTTACGCGTTTCACTGTTTCACACATGCTTCCTTTACTAGGGTGAGCGGTTTAGCGATTGTATGGTTGTGTGTTTATGTGAGTGACGTGATTCATGCAACAATGGGAATTTAATGACCGTAATTTTTGCGTGGACACGTTTACAATAAAAAGTGGGTGCTCGTTTTTGCCATGTTTGTAGTCTCGTTTTTATTAGTGTCTTTTTTTTGTGAAATGTTGTTGGTAGTTGCAAAAAGAAATACGGAAAAAGCGTGATGTATTTGTCTTTGCTTTTTTTTGTTTTTCTCTCTCTCCTTTTTTGTTTTTTCTAGAGAGAAATTCCAAAATTCAATACGCTGTGAAAACTTAAAAAATAGGTATTATTTTTTGAGAGATTATAAACCTCTGCAGAGTTATAAATTGTTCCTCTTTTTCAATTTCATTAAAAAATTGTGTTTAGCTAAAAGTGATATGAAAATCGCAAAATCAACAAAAATGGACTTTATCATATTGTTTCCCTGCGGTCTTCATATATTTTCTCTGAAGAGCCATTCGAGGCACGATTCATTTACACACCATGTATTTTCGATGCTGATGAGAGTTCAACGCTTAATGGAATATTCTGTCGTGTTACGTCGTTTATTGCGCTCGTGAACAACACGGTACCAGGTTTTTAATTACTTTTTCTCCATTAAAAATTCTAAATTTAAAACTGTTTCCTCGCGTGTCGTAATTTTATAACTATTTCTTTCAATTTTACAAATATAACGAAAATTGAGACTGGATATGATTACGAATTCCTGCTCGAGATAAATGTAGCGAAAAGAAAAAAGAAATTTATATGCAAAGAAGCTCTTTCAGAGTAGACTGCTCGATTGAATGTAACTGAACTGTAAACAGGTCTGATACACGAAAGTGCACTCTACTTTGCCAGAATTTCCTTTCCCCTTGGCGGCTTCCATCTGTTTACGT